CCAAGAACAGATCCTTGAGGCAACCCTGACGTAAGTTTCATTGGTTCCGAGAGACCACTTGAGTAAGAAATCTGCCGAGTCCGACCAGTGAAAAATGATTCGAACCACATTAGCGCAATCTTATTTAAACCATAACAATATTTTATTCTGTCCAACATGTTTTTATGATTTACAGTATCAAACGTCGAGCTCATGTCCTGGAATGAGTTGATTCCGTCGGAAATCAAAAAAATTGTTTTGATACATAAGCTCAAAATATATTTAATACAATTTTCGGGCAATTACTTTGATGTCGTTTTATTTTAATTTTGTCTATATGTATGAGTGATTTTGAGTATCTATGATGTAAGAGTGTGTGCGTATGTGTGTGGTCGTGTGTGAGTGTGTAAATGTGCATGACGAGGTAAACATGTGTGTGAGTGAGCAAGAATGAGTGTGTTTGTGCATGATTAGATATGAATCTGTTGATTTGAATGTGTGCGTGAATATGTACATTTTGAGTAGTTTATTACTAATTTATTTACCAAAAACCAGTTGGCGATACCTTTTAAAATATTATTAATAAATATTTGATTTTCGCGCGGTTTTTTTGTGTGGAAGAAAATAGTTGTGTCGTCGGCAAAAAGTAAAAATTTAGTTTTAGAAGGTATTAGGGCAAGATCGTTAATAAATATAGCAAAAAGTAGTGGTCCAAGTATGGATCCTTGCGGATCAACAGAGGTAATGCTTAGTTTACCTGATTTGCTCCCATCTATTGATACATATTGTATTGATACATATTGATTTCTGTTTTTGAGGTAAGTATTAAACCAATGGAAAGCTTTTCCTCTAATACCATATAATTGCAGTTTTTGCAAAAATATATCATGATTAATAAGGTCAAAGGCTTTTGACAAATCAATAAAGATCCCGACAGTTAAGATTTTCTCTTTCAAGTTGTACATCACTCGTTGCATGAACTCCAATACAGCAAGTTCTATTGAATGATTGGATCAAAAGTCGTATTGTCTGTCTGAGATGATGCTATTTGAATTGAGAAACAAAGTTAATCTTGAGTGCATTAACTTTTCTAAAATTTTTGAAAGAAGAAAAATGGGTCTGTAATTTGACATGTCCAGTTTATCACCTTTTTAAATATTGAGATAACTTTCGCAGTTTTGAAACATTGAGGAAAAACTCCTTGCGATAGCGAGAGGTTGCACATGTGTGTAACGGGAACAATTAGTTATTTAATTAAATGTTTTATTAAAAAATTACTTAAATCGTCATAGGATGTACTTTTTTTATTCTTCATATTCTTAACTAAATTTATTATTTTCGACTCAGTAACCAAATTGAGATAAATAGATTTGCATGTTGGATTGATTAGATATGAGTTTTCCTGATTTTGTGGTAAATTGTTACAATGAGTTAGTAACATTGACGAAATAGTTGTTGAAAGCGCTACTTATTTCCGTTTTATCTTCGACTACTAAATTATTAACCAAGATTTTGTTGATGTTTATTTGATTTAGTTTTTTATTAAATATATTATTTATTATAATCCATTTACTTTTAGCGTCATTTTTAGAATCAATAAATTTATTTTTGAAATGTTGATGTTCAACATACCTTTTGTAGTTTGTAAAGCTATTTTTAAATTTTTGTACACATTAAAGTTAATTATGGTGGAGTTGACGATGTATTTTTTAAACAATTTATTCTGTTGCCGTGACATTTAAAAATTTTTTAGTAATCCATAATTTTTTGTTTTTGCGGTTATAGGATCGCAAAGGAGCAACTGCATCTAGGGCCTTATTGATTATATTATATAGAAGTGAACAGGCAGTTTCTATATCATTTTCATTTGTAACAAGAGTCCAGTTGATGGAAGAAAGATAAAGTTTAATTTTATTAATATTACTATTTGATAAATTACGTTGAATGGAAGGGGTTTGGTTGACTATAGACAAGTTAGAACAATGTGAAGTAAAAATTGGAAAATGGTTGGAGAGATCGGATGTAATTACGTACCTATTGAAGGCATCAGAAAAATTTGTAAAAATTTTATCGATCAATGAATTAGAAGTGGAGCAACAATTAATGGAACAGCCATATGACAAAAGTAAATTTTGAAATGAACTAGTGTTTGGCGAATTTAATTTTAAAAGATTTACATTGAAGTCCCCAACAAGATACATGGTTCTGCCTACATGCGTTGAGGGCAATTTCTAATTTATTCAAGAAAACATCAAAATTTGTAATAGGAATTTGATATAAGACAATTACTTTTAAATATTTATAATTGTAAAATTTCTTTAATCGTACATTAATACACAACATGTCTATAAAATCATCATTAAACACTTATCTTCACACACACAAAAATCCGAATCATTTTTTAAAAACATACCAACGCCACCTCCTATACCAAAGTTTCTATTCTTAAATATAAACCTATAATTTTCTAATTCAATCAATGGAGCCGACAATTCATTCAAACAAATTTCACTAATAACTATCAGATGATTAAATATTTTATAAAATTGATTAATTAACATTTGTTAAGTCGTCATCTTGTTGTATAGGCTTCGAGCGTTTATATGCAAAATGGACAAACATGATGTAAACAAATTAACTCCAGAACTAGCTATAAAATCTATTAACCATTAAACACCAACATGGGTCTTTTCGACCCATGAACACTTTTTAAAAAATCATATTTCGCTTATTTTTTAATCTAACAATTTTAAATTTTTTGACTTTGTCTAATTTTTTATAAGCTTTTCATAAATGTAGCTTGATTTTAAATAATCAGATATCTTGTATATAAAAGCAGTCTTCCAAAAATGTGTGTTTACGTTCGTCGAAATGACCCATGTGAATAAAATTGAAACGATATTATAATATTGAACATTTTATTGATTTTAAACACCAAATTTACATAAAATAAACATTTTATTATATTCATGTATCAAATTTATATAAAATTAACAGTCATGACATTGGTAATTGACACAGTTGATGCATAATGGATTCAAACATTTGTTGCAACGTTGGACCGTTTTGTTTGAAACGCATTTTCTACATCTCAACCGTTTTCCAGATTTAGCAGATGATTGACATTCAGGTGCTAACTGAGATTGGATCAACTTTATATTTCCATCGTCATCAATTTCCCCACCGCATAATTCTGCTCCCAAACTTTTTAAAAATTGCCTTCTGTTTTTATGTCCAGTAACTTCTTGCCAAAGGATGAATGAATTATATGCAGTGACGTCCACCATGTGTTAAAAAACACATTTTGGCCAACGAAAGGTTCGCCTTCGAGTAGTGTACATTGCGCACATTAGATCCAAATGATCAACTCCTCCTTTACCTTTGTTGTAAACTAATATTATTTCTGGTTTTTTACTTTGGTCATCTATTTCTTCGTTGCTGTGCTCACTTGACAGTAAAACTACTCTTTTGTTTTTTTTGGTGCATCAGAAACTAGAGTTGCTTCAGATAAAAAACCAAATAAAGAGGTGCCACCTTCGCTATTTTTCTTTACAAATTCTGGTGGCAGTTCTCTCCGATTTTTACGAATGGTTCCAATGACAATTACGATTTTGCATCTCACGTAGTAGTTCCAAAGATGTAAAAAAATTGTCCATAACAACGGTTTTGCCAATGTCTAAGTTCTCCGTCAAATCTAACACTACTTGCTTTCTTAAATTTTTTGCCCGCGCTACTCCATTATCTGTGCCTAAATACGGTTTCATTTTCAAGCAGTAGCCGGTACAAGTGTTTCATCTACGGTTACATACTCATATGGAATAAATGGTTTTTCAAGATTCTTTTGCCATATGTCAAACACCACACCCATCGGTGCAAACTTTGATAGTTTACGTCGAACACTTCGGCTGCTAGTAAGATCAAATCTAATAAATTTTGTCATTTCTTCAAATCTAGTCCTTGACATAAATTGTCTGATGCATTGTCGGCCTTCTGACTTTGACCAAAGTGCACGCACGGGTTCTCCTTTCCCTTTATATACCCCAACTAAAATATTTACACCTATGAAAGTGTTGATTTCCTCTCTGTTCGTAACAAAATTGGCACCCAAACTAGCAGCTTTGTCTTTAGTACAATCAACAATTATATCGATCAGAGAATTGTCCATGAAAATCTGCCAAATAGAGAGAGCAGTAATGGTGCAATGACGACGTCCGTAAGCACTCAGTCCTCCAGCTGCTCTCATTACATTCAGAGACTGTCTTCTCCCCGTCATATAAGGCTTAGTATTCCACACAGTGCCGTCTGCACTTACATATGCTCACAAATCTTTTCAATTACCGAATCAATACATTCATACATATGCCTTTCCATATCAGTTGTCATCAAACATGAACCACTATTAGAATCATCCTCACAAAAATTACAAGCCAGGATGTCATCATCATTTCTTTTATTTCCATTTTTTCCTCATCTGCAAACTTTCCAGCATGAAATTTCTCTTCTAAGTCATATTCAACAGACCTGATTGATGTTGATGACAAACTGGACATTGAATCTACATTTTCATTATTTTTATATTCAGCATCAGAGAGGCTACCCAGACTTTCAATTCCACTTTTTTCATCATCATCATCATCAAGGATAATATCTAAAGCTTCTTGAGCAAAAACGCGACGAGACATAATCACATTTATTTTTAATTTGATACAGAAAGAAAAATGTATGATTGATATAAACAAGTTTAACATATCCTGCCGCAAAAAGGAAATTTAAGTATTTAAATCTTTAACGTTTTAAAAGTAATTTTTTTAAATTTTTAATAACTTATTGTTTAAAGTTATTGCTAAATTTAATTTGTTTGTAATTAAGAATATTTTTATTAATTTTTTGTGGCAAAAAAACGATTTTTGTGTACCGTGGGTCGATTCGACCCATAACGACTTCAACGTTTTTTTTTTCTTCGATGTTTAAGGGTTAAACTATTTTCAGTATAATATGGCGTTTGGCTGTACACTAGATTGTTAACGAAATAATCTCGCATCGCCATGTTTCGTGGCAATAGTCCGCAATTGTTTTTCTTCAACTTCTTTTCTGTTTTTTGCCACTGAAAAATCCCATTCCCGTAGGAACCTGTACTGGGGCCATATATCTGGATTTGTTAACTTTGGTAGCTCCTTAATTGGCAAAATTATTTTAAAAGCTGTTGACTCGATTGATGCGTTTTGGTCAGTTGCTACATTATCCGTTGGGTTTCTTTTCCGTAAGACAGAGAAGCAATGATTGAACGCTAAATTGTAAGTTTTCAAATGGTTTTCAATTATGTCCCTGCTGCACGAGCCGACATTGCCCCCATAATAAGTAATTTGTTTTCTCTATTATTTTTAATGCGTTCAATAAACAGTTGACGCCAGTGCCACACACTTTTTCGGATTTCTTGGTGTCTTCTTCACTGTTTTTTTCTTTAACAATCATAGGACTACCGACAGACTTTTTACTTTTCTTTGCTTTTTGTACAAGCTGAAAGCCATCAAAATCTAGTTCATCATTAGATTTGTTTATAGAATTAGTAGCTAAAACTTTAGTTCTATCTGCCCATGACTTCATTTGTTAAATTTGATTTCAATACGTTGTTTACACTGTTTGCGTTTGCAACGTCTACAGGTGCATTATTAACAGATACGTTTGTTGGTTTGACGTTTGTTGCACAAATTTTATTTATTTCTTGCGTATGGTTTGAGATAACAGAGCGCATTTTTTCCAGTAGACGGGTATGTTTTGTATCTAACATACATTATGGCCTTTTGACGCATACTAAACATGGCTTTAATGTCATTTTTAACCATTTGAAAATTTAAATTCAGCCAATTAACAACATTCGGAATTCTTGCTAAACCAGCACTTAAATATTCGAGAGTTGTATCCCTTTTAGTAGTATTCCTGCAAAATTTAAATTCAATTTTTAAGATATAGTTTTTTAATATTTCTAAATCATTTTTCAAAATTTTAAGAGTAGTAGCAACTTCTTCAACATAGTAAAACTCAATAACATTTGAAACAAATGTTTCATCCTCTAAGTTATTCCAGTTATTTACCAAAAAGAACAAAAAGTCACTAATAACAATTGACCGATCCGCCATGTTGTTTACATTCTTACTTCTTATCGTTCTTTTCTCTTATCGATCACATAACTTACCAACTTACTATGTCCTTAAACAGTCAAATAATTATGTTATTTATAGGGTTTTTTAAATCATTATTTCATTTTCCATCTTCTCATGCTTAAACACTTTTACTCCGTTATTTATTTTTCGTTATCCTTCTATACATGATGTAACAGTTTCTGCGTCTGTCAAATTCTGATTTTTTTAAATAATAAAAAAATTTCGTTAAAATATTAGATACTTTGCTCCGTTGGATTATAGTGATCATTCAGTTATAGCTGCAGAACTTAACGGTTTCGATTTGTCTCGATATCCGGGAATATGAAATACTGTTACAGCATTGGAAATTATGGCAGTTTTAACAGAGCTTTTGGTTACAAGTCAAAATTTGCCAATTGAATATAGTTGAAACTTATTTCGAGAGTTACTATGTAATTTGACAAAAAAGTTTGTTTCGTTCTACTTTCAAAATGACTCCTGAGCTAAAAATAAAAAGACTCCCCAGGCTGAAACTCCATTACAGGAAAAGGACATATATATTTGGAGATAGTGACATATGTTTGGATAGTGGACCGCATGATAAGAGGAGAAAGAACTAAAGGTCAAACAGTTCTAGAAATTCAACAACGTTACCCATTCTAGAAACAAAATTTGTCCGCTAATAGTACTGTTGTTTGAAATCCGAATCAAGTTAACGTTGAAAGTTTTTTTTATCATTCTTTAAAAATCAGGATCTGACAGACGCAGAAACTGTTACAGCATGCAAGGCAGTAGTATAAAATTAAACGAAGAAGTAAATAAATAAATAAAAAAACGGAGGAAGAAAAATGTTTAAAAATGAATTAAAGTTTTTATTAGATTCTTGCAGAAGTGCTCCCAAGTTAATTTTTTTAAATGAAGTTAATCCTATATATTACATGATCCCACCAAGTCTATCTGAGTTTCAATTAAATGGATACCAGGTAATTTCAAAAGGTTTTGCTGTCAAGGATAGTCGTGGTTTGCTGGTTTATTTCTGTAATGATCTTCCCATCACTAAATTAATTTTATCATCATCATTTCACGAATATATCTGTGTTCAGCTGTCTTCGAAACTAAGAAAATTGAATTTCTGTATCGTAGTCCTGGAAGCTCTGACTTAAACAATATTTTATTATTACAGCTGCTTGAAGAATTTTTAAAATTGCCTGGTTTTCATTTTATACTTGGTGATTTTAATTTACCGTATGTCAATTGGGGTTTTTAAGGTTCAACAAGCCCACCTGCAGGAATAGATAATATGTTTTTAAATTTCATCAATGATAATTTTTTGAAACAGCATATTGATCAACCCACCAGAGCTTGTGGTACACACCAGCCCCACATTTTGGACTTGGTAATCACTGATGTGGATATCATCAAAAACATATCCTGTTTGTCACCAGTGGGAGCGGGTGACTACTCTGTTCTTTCTATGGAGGTATGTGGCTTCCATGCGGTAAAACATTCGGATATTAAAAAATTCTGTTACGACAGTGGAGATTATTCTAATTGAAATGTCGACTTTGATAATGCTTTGCCCACATTACTTGATTTGCATCCTGGATCGTCGGTTGAAGCGCTTTGGACCTCGTTTAGAAATTTAATTCTTGGTTTAACTGGAAAGTACGTCCCATTAAGAAAAATCTGTATAAAGCGTACGTTTAAAACGACTCCGGAACTACGTTTGTTAATAAAGCTGAAACATGTCTCATGGAAACAAATTTACAGACATGGCAGCAATTTTTGGGATTTGTTCAGGTGGTTGAGAGACAGGATAAGAAAGATAACAAAAGATTTACATAAACAACGCTTGAACAAAATTGCAAAGGGTTTCAAATCAAACCCCAAATTGTTTTGGAAACAAGTGATTGGGATTGGTTCTTTGCTGCATGATGGCATGCTGGTTTCGGATGACAAAGAAAGAGCTGAAATTTTAGCAGATTACTTTGCGTCTGTTTCTGTAAAAGATTTGCAATTTACAAATGATGGTACTTTTAATGGCTTTTTGCTTCCTGAAGGTGGTATGCAAAAGTTGATTATTAATGAGATGATGGTAAATGATAAACTTAAAAAAATCAATCGAAACAAGTCACCGGGTCCTGACGGGGTTCATCCTAGGATTTTGTTTGAATCAAGAGATATGTTATCCAAGTTACTTGTTCAGCTGTTTAATTGGTCATTAAATACGAGTGATATTTCAAGTGATTGGAAAACAGCTCTGGTGGTACCATTACATAAAAAAGGTAATAAAAATTTGGCAACCAATTACAGACCAATTGCACTAACAACAATATGTTGCAAAATAATGGAATCAATTATAACTGATCATATTAAAAATTATTTTTTAAGCAACCATCTATTCACAGACAGACAATATGGGTTCCTTCTATCTCGTTCAATCACATTACAGCTTTTGAAATTGGTGAGGTCACGGCGTCATCGGAAGCAGGTATGAGTACAGATATTGTTTATACAGATTTGGAGAAAGCTTTTGATACAATTTCCAATTCTAGGCTGTTGTTCAAATTAAAAAAATATAAAATTCAGAACAAGATAATAAAATGGATAGAAAGCTATCTTAGGGAAAGAACGTTTCGTGTTAGAGTAAATGACTGACATTTAAGTGCTAAACATGTTGCTAGTGGTGTTCCCCAAGGAGGAGTACTCAGTCCACTTTTATTTGTGATTTAAGTCAACGACATTTACACAATTAACAACAATATCTTTTTATATGCAGATGATGCAAAGATATTTGGTTCAATATCTGTTCCACAGGATGAGGCGGTGTTGCAAAGTTGTTTGGATAATGTAATGATGTGGTTCTACAGATGGAGTTTGAAGGTTAACGTCAGTAAATGCAGTTTGTTGACAATAGGCAGATGTTTGTAAAAGGAATATTTTATCACTGATTCAGATAATGTAGCTCAGGCCTTGCCAAGGGTGAAGAGTATATCTGACCTGGGTGTGGTAATGGATGATCGCATCCAATTCAAAGAGCATGTTTTGAGTAAAATATAAAAATCTAACTCCATGTTAAGAATACTATCAAAAAATTTTAGTTGCCTGTCTGACGAAGCTTTCATCTGTGTCTACAAGTCGTTGGTTCGGAATAAATGAATTGGAAAAAGTTCAGAGAAGAGCTGCCAAAATTCCAAAGTCCTGTAAAAATCTGGAATACAGTTTGAGGTTGGTGAAATTAAACCTCCCTTCCCTTAACTACCACAGAATCAGAGGAGATTTAATCCTGGTCTATAGAATGCTTCACGGCATGGTGGACCCTGCGATTTGCTCTCAGTTGTGCGGTAGGGCTGATGTCAACACCAGGGGTCATCAGCTCAGATTGTGTACTCTACAGGCCAGAAATGATTGCAGGAAATATTTTTCTCGAATCGAGTTGTTAGCCCATGGAATGCATTGCCAGAGGATATTGTTAATGCTCCGTCATTGCCTATTTTTAAAACTAAACTAGACTTATTTTATGGTGACGCAAAATATTCTATATTTTAATTTTAGTTTGTTTTGTGTCTGATGTTTATTATAAATTATTTGCAAATGTACGTACCTGTAACAATCAATTTTCGGAATTTGCATTTTTTTCAAACATTGATAATTGTCTTAAACATTGACTCTTTAATTTTTATTGGAATTCGTTCTGATTTATTTTTGTTATGTTATTTCAGTTTTGGGCAAGGGGCTTTGCCCAAGCCTTTTTTCTTATAATAATAATATAAATAATGAAAAGTAAAATAAAATAGAATAAAATGAATAATAGTAAAATAAAAATAGAATAAAATAAATAATAATTAAATAATTAGAAGAAAATAAAATAAATAGAAAATAAAATGAAGTAATGGCTCAAAAAGACAAATTAACAGACTAGATGATGACTTAGTGAGGTGATCGATAAATAAAGACTAGTTGTGTGAATGATAAAGTTTATTGAGTGTGTATATGTTTGAGGTGTCTTGAAATGAAGGTCTTTTCCTGACATGTAGATTGGGTGACGACTTGATAGTTATGCTTGCGTTGACGAAGGATGTATGTTGTAGTTTTTATTGGCGGTAGAAGAGGATGGATGGCGTGGTTGTTTTATCTTCTACTTTCTTGAACAGTCTTGAATCGAGTGTGTTGAATATCTGAGTGACGGTAGGGTATGATGCAGGTAGATATTTGAAGCGGATTAGTTTTTGATGAGAGATTGTAGTTGCTGAAGTTGTTGTTGTCTAGCAAAACCAAACCAAGAGGGAGCTGCATATTTGATGCGTGAGATTATGAGTGATTCAATGATGTCGAATAATTTGATGCCTCTGAGACCATGTGAGCGAAGTGTTTCGAGTGTGTGAAATTTTTGAAAATCTTTTGTGATGATGTGATTGATAAGAGATGCTATATTAAGTGTGGAGGTGAATGTGATGCCTAATATTTTAAATTGACTTGTGCGATTAATTGATGTGTGTTCTTGGGGTAATGTTATTTTCATACAACTGTTTTTTATGATGAGTTCAAATGATTTATTGAGGTTAAATCACAGATTGCATCGTTTTGATCATGTAGTTAATGAGTCGCGTTCTGATTGAATGGTGTTTGAATCAGATGATGGGATGATAAGGTAGGTGTCGTCAGCGTTTTTGATAATGTGATTAGAGCTATGAAAACTTTTGGGAGTAGAAGCATTGATGACAAAGGTAGATGGTCCAAGGACAGAACCTTGAACTACGCTAGAATTAATAGGTAGATTAAAGAGTACAGCTAAAGAAAATAGAATGACTCCTATTAGAAAGAAAATTTATTATATCAATATTGTAAATGTTGTCAGGTAGAGGAAGAGAGGCTAATTTATTTTAAAGTGAGAAGTGATTGAGAGTGTCAAAAGATTTAGCAAAGTCGAGAGCAATAAGATGAACATAATTATTATTTTTAAGGAATGATGTTATTGTGGAAGTAAGAGAGATGATGACGGATGTAGATGAACCTGTAGGGCAAAATGCAGACTGGTCTTGTAATAGTGGTTTGATGGATAGTTGAAACATGAATAGATAAATGACCTAACGATGAATTTTTCTAGAATAAATGAAAGTATAATAGATATTGGGCGATAATCTATTGGTGATGATGGGTGTTTTGTTTTAGGAATTGGATGGATTGTGCTGGCTTCCCATTGTGATGGGATAAATGAATGCATTAACCAGTGATTGTAGAGTGAACTTAAGGTGCTGGAGATGAATATAGCGATGATTTGTAGAAACCATGCTGGCAGACTGTCTGGACCTGTACCGGATGGTTGTACTATTGATTGTTGTTGCTTTTGTTGGTGAAGTTTTGTAGGACGGGTCGGTTGACATGAAAGCAAAGTGGGTGTTGATGTTGGCATCAATTTGCTGTGAGGTTGGCGTGTTGAACGATTTGTCAGAGCCTCTGATCTTGTTGACTTGGTTTAGATGGCATTGCTTCCACACTAACTGTTAGTGAAGGTTTTTGAGTTGAAGTTGATGATGAGTGTATTGATGTATATGGTGATCGCTGCGGCTTTGAGGATGAATCCTGATTTCACGAATTCATTTTTTTTGGCGAAGTAGATATTTGTTGAATGGGAAGATGAATGGAGGGTCTGATGATCTGATCGTGATGTTTGATGTTGGGTAGTACGTGTTGTAAGTTGAGTTGATGATTTTATAAAATTTTTCAAAAAAGTGTTGCAAAAAATTGTCAATAAAGTTATTGTCACTAATATTGTTATTATCATTGGCACCATTGTTACAAGTATTATTACTATTAGTGGGACTATTATTATCATTGATGTTTTTAATATTATCAAAATTAATAGTATTATTATTTAAAATTGCTGGTAGAGTATTGTTGGTGGTGGTGGTGGTGGTGACGCTGAAGTCGAAGATACTATTGAAGTCGATGTTGTTGAGATGTTGAAGGCAAGCATTACTCTGAGAAGGATGACGACGGCGAAATGAGATGACTTTTCTCGTGGTGTTGTTTCTCGATGTTGAATAAGTTGGTTGAGATGGAGAAGCAGCAACCACCCCAAGATGATGTGTTGAAATGTGTGACCTATAGGTGTGAGTGATGTCCAGGTTTACATTAATCCCATATAACCTGTCAAGGTTGTACCCAGAATATAGTGTGTAGACCTGTTTGAATGATACAATGATGTTCGAGTCGCTCCCCAACGCATCGATGTAACCATCAAGGTGGAGACTTCGTATGATGGATGATTTGGTGGATGATATAATTTATATAGAGATTTTGGTAAGTTTAACCGTAATCCAAACAAAACTAATATCTTCGGCGAATGAGCAGTTTATTTAAAAGTTGTATTCACTATTCAGCATTCTTACTGTTTAAACAAGTATTTTTTACATTTAATCAAAAATAAGCAAATGTTTATGTTTTCTAAGCATGTGATTTTATTGACAATGTTTCAAGCTGCCCTGTATTTTAATCGATGCGATTCTTCACAGAATAGTTAAATTAATTGTTTATTTATTTATAATAATTTCGATAAAATATTCAACTAAATAAATAAATACCAACCAACACATCATCAGGCACCATGCAAGACTTCACACACCAAACACACACACACATACACTCACACAATTTTATGACACATGACATACTTGATTAAAAAATCCCATCAGTACAAGAAAAAAACGAATAGGTTATAAATTAGCCATTAATAAGCTTATAAAAAAACTCATAATTGGCCGTTACAAACGTGCACACGCACATAAAAAATAAAATAGACAGCAATAATAAATCAACGTAAAAACAATTTTGCAATTAGTTTATTCCTACTATTGGACGAAGCGTTCACGTTGGTGAAGCGGCATAACAAACGTCCACGTTTGAATGTCTCATTGGAGGTCAACAACAACGGCGAAACCACTTCAAACAACAACAACGGGGGAACCACTTCAAACAACAACAACGAAAACACGGCAAACATCAAAACAGTTAAAAAAACAACAAAAGTTATTGGCAAAAAAGTTATTGAAGATTGTAAATTGAGAGCAGACAAAAATTTAATTAAGATATCTGTGTTCTCAATAAGCAACCTTAGTAAAAGCCATCGGAGAGATGTGGTTGAATTGTTGACATCCGTCGGAATTAACGTCATAACGTGTTATCCAGTTATACAAAAATCTGAAATGTCTTTAGAAAAAAATTTGGACAAAGATGAGCAAGAATCAACGATGTTTAGAGTCTGCATCGACAGTTCAAATGCAGCGGTGATGAAGGATCCTGAAGTAATGCCAAAAAATATTATTGTTCGTGAATGGCGCTTCAATCAGAAAAAACCTGATGATGTCAATGCCCGAAATGGTTAGCACAATTTTTGATCATAACATTTTTGTGAGTCATCTAAAACCATTAAAACTAAGTGGCGTAATGTTGTGCGACCTATCTGACCATTTTCCGATCTTCGCACTATTCGAAGAGGCGGATAAAAGCAATGGTGTAAATGGTTCAACAAAAATGAAGTTTTTATTTTCAGCAAATCGACTGCATAGGTTGAATGAGTGCTTGCAATCTTTAGACTGATGTCAAGTATTTGAATGTTTTGATGCAGATATGGGCTTCGAGCTATTCATCAACAGATTTCGAACTTGTTTTTATAATATCTGCGTTATAAATTCACAAAATAAGAAAAAAAAACTGGCGAAAACAAAACCATGGTTCACTAGAGAAATTAAAAAATTACTAAATAAAAAAAAATTGCTATTCAAAAGTTATTTGAAAAATCCATCTCCAGAAAAATTATCAAAGTTTAAAACGTTAAGTCAGTTTTGTACGAAATTAAAAAACAAATTGAAGCGCAAATATTACATGGGACAGATCGAGCAAAATAATAACAAAAGTAAAAAAACGTGGTCAATAATAAAGGAAATTTCAAAAATATTTACCAATCATAAAACTAAATCTCAGTTAACTTCAAACGAACAGATTAATGAAAACCCTGCAAATTTTTTGAATGAATATTTTGACAACATAGCTCCAAATTTGCTCAATTCATTTCAAACAGACAAACAATGGAAAACTTTTTTTCGCAACAAAACATCAAATTCATTTTTTTGTCTCCATGCATCTGCAGATGAGATAATTTCCACAACCAAATTGCTGATACCAAAGTCGTCTAGCGGTTGGGATGATATTCCAACAAAAATTGTAACATCAACAATTCACTCCACCGCCCAGGTCCTTAAACACATCATCAACCTTTCCTTCACAACCGGTGTCTCAAAATATCCAAAATCATACCAATACAGAAAGTTACTGGTAATAACGACGTTTCTAACTTCCGACCAATTTCACTTTTACCAGCATTCTCAAAAGTAGTTGAAAAAATTATGCACAGGAGAATAATTTCGTTTTTACAAAAAAATAACATCCTTTCAAATTACCAGTTTGGGTTTCGAGAGAAACATTCAACAGAACTGGGCATCATCGAACTGATAAGAAAAATTGGTAATCTAGCGGAGAAAAAACATTTCATTGTAGGAACATGCCTCGATCTGTCGAAGGCATTTGTCTGTATCGATCACGACATCCTGCTAAGCAAGCTTGAGCACTACGGCATAAGAGGTACGACATTGAAATGGTTCAGGAGTTATCTGTCTGGAAGAAATCAGTTTGTTTGTTGGGGAAATGAAAATTCAACATTTCGACACAATGGTGTCGGGGTTCTTCAAGGAAGCATCTTAGGACCACTGCTATTCATCATCTTCATCAACGATCTACCAGATGCAACCGACTACTTTGATTACGTTTGCTTTGCCGACGACACAAACATTTTTGGAAGCGGGAAAGATATTGATGATGTTATCGATCAAACCAACGCTGAAATAAAACACGTTGTCAAATGGTTCAACTCCAATAAACTGACTATAAACATTTCAAAAACGCAGTTGATTGTCTTCGGACCAGTGCAATATTTAAATTACAAAGAACCGTATAAAATTACAATCAACAACCAAGAAATAATCGAGAGTAAAACAATAAAATTTTTAGGCGTTTTATTAGATCAGAAACTAACATTCAAACCCCATGTCAATACAAAGAACCGTATAAAATTCATGTCATACAAAGAACCGTATAAAATTACAATCAACAACCAAGAAATAATCGAGAGTAAAACAATAAAATTTTTAGGCGTTTTATTAGATCAGAAACTAACATTCAAACCCCATGTCAATTACGTTTCAAACAAGTTAGCGAAATCTATCAGAATAATGAACAGAATAAAATTTTACCTTCCGAAAAAATGCTTGAACATGATCTATAACGCCATCTGTCTACCTCACGAGACGTACTGCAATGTTTTTTGGGCCAGTGCGTATCAAACGACCACCAACCCCGTCAAGATGCTGATGAAGAAGGCAATGAGGGTCATCACGCTGTCCAGGAAGCAAGCGTACACCAATCAACTATTCGTCGCCACCAACAATTTAAACTTTGACAAATTAAATCTTTATTTTGTGGCAAATTTTGTTTTCAAGCAACTTACAAATAGGCTTCCATCTATTTTTAATAATTATTTCGTCTTTAATAAAAGTTCTAGACAAGTCAAATATTTATTATCAAATAAATCAAAGACAAATATTCTGTATTCGCATGTTGTATGCAAGGGTCCTAGAGTGTGGAATCAAATTTTGAAAGATGGTTTTTGCTATGAAAATTTGTCTGCAATCTTTAAAAAGAAATTTAAACTATTTCTGTTGTTGAATGACCAATGACTAACCGTAAATCAATATAGATATGGACATCTATTTTTCAATTTTTATTTGCGCCTTAATTGCCATTGTTTAGTTCCAATTTCTGTTTAACTTTTAGAACAATGTCGTTCTATATATTGCTTAAATATATAGATAACAATGTAATGTCTATCCCGTGTTTTTCTGGATAGATACCAAACATTGTTATACATAAACCTTGAACCATCGTACTAACAACTAACACCTGTTTTGCTAACATAGTTGAGTTTGTTAATTTACTCACAACTAACATCTAACATGCCTCTCATAGATCATTTAGGAAAAATTTTCATTATTTGCTGAAAATTTGTGTGAACTTGGAACATTTCTGTTTAGGTGGCCATACAAGATGAATTTTATATAAATTCTATTATGGTCATCCTGCTTTCTTTTAATTTTCAATTTTGAGAAGCAAATAAAATATCGTTTCCTTTCGTTTCGTTTCATTGAAATGTCAAAAATAAACTCAGGTTAATTAAGAAATACAGACTAATCTGCAAGCAAGTCAGATATGAAACCAAAAAAGTACGACTAGTTTTTGAAGAGGATCTGGTAAAAAAGCCAAAAACAAACCGAAATTGTTTTTCAAATATTTGAACAGTCAACAAGTTACTTATGAATCAACCAAAGCACTCAAAATATCAAATGTTGAAATAACACAAGATTCAAATGAAATTTTCACTTTATTAAATATTCGTTTTTCAAAAATTACTTGAAAACATCTCTGGTAGACATCCATAACTGGTTTATTTCTAAGAATACATCCAGTTTTTAAAAGTGCATTCTGATTAAAATAAATAATACAAATGTTCAACCTGTTGTAATAAATTTTCTATTTATTTATCTAGGTGTCTGTTTACTTGTTTAAGTTTTCGAAGACGTTTTAAATTAATCAACATTATGCTGATTGTCAGAAGTTTCCGGTTCTTGTTAAGAACTTCGCTTTCACGTGTAAATTTAACTGAAAATCAGATAAAAAATTGTGTTCCAGCACTTGTGCTCATTTATAACAACAGCACCAGCAAATCCGATTCCACCACCAGCAAGTCAAGTCATGTCATTTATTATTTATTCACTAGGCAGAAAATTTTTTCAGAGATTTTTAAAGTTTAGTGAATTATGATAAAAAATAAGACTTATAAATTATTTAGTAAAATAATTTAATATATAAAGATAAACTATAATTATAATATAATGGCAAACATAATCATAATGAAGTGTGAAATACGCCCTGAGTGTTGTGGCTGCTCTAATTCTAATCTAACCAAACTAATGTATGCCCGTTTTGGAATTTTTGGTGTTGCAGATTTCAAATATTAAACATTTAGAGAACATAAATATAGAACTTATAAGTAGATGTAGTTTATGGAAAAGTTGGAATGATCTAGCTATTCCAACCCAAAATTTTATGTATCATAATATAAATAAATATAGGACCTGTATTATGATATGTTAAATTTAGCTAGTTGAAAGACTTGAATTATTTAGTTGTAATTTAGCAGTAATTTATTTAGACCATGGTTTAACAAAATTTGTTGTAGTTATAATACAGTCAGACCTCCTTATTAGAGCCCCAAGCAGATAACCGTAATGTGGTTTCAAACAGCGGTTACCATGTTGTAGATAAAAAATTCTTAAAATTCCGCAGATTTGGCAGTTTGTGGATTTTGCCTGTGTGGTTTGCCGCAGATGCATATTCAAGCGCATTTTTCAAAAAACTGCTCACAAAATTAAATTTTTAATTATCAAAAAATTTTCACAATAAAAAAATTTTGTTTTTTCATATGTTGGCATATTGTGTGTGAGTATATATATGTGTATTTAGTGACCATAGCTGAGTCTCTGGAGTCTATCTATGTATATGTGAATGTATGTGCATATGTGTGTTATACAAAACGTATGTATGAAGTGTATCTATCTTTGATACTTAAAACAAGTGTTATCATCACCATATCACCATAAATGTTATCATCACTAACATTTTTTCTTAACTTTGCTGGATATTTTCGAATTTTTTTCTTGAATTTGGGTTCGTCAAATAGACAGAATTTTGCTGCATTAAATGTTATAATTTTTGTTAGTTAATTAATTGCGGTTAATTTAGTTATATTTATTTCAGTTTATCTAAATTCGAGGCCATCCATAAATTAGTATTTTATTGCTAGGATGAACCTTTTTACTTTTGTAAATAAAACATATTAAAAAAAAATTATAAATAGTGTTTATTCGACGTTGTTGTTGTTGTTGTTGTTGTTGTTGCCCCATTCTGGGGGACCCCTAGGGTTCCAATTGAGGCCGGAGCCAAACCGCCACTTCAATTGGGTTTTTCCAGAAGTCTATTGTTTGTAGTTTTGTGGTGTTTTGTGGACAGCTAAACAGATGCGGTACATCATCTGTATGATTGTTGCAGAAAGGACATATGTTGAGGTGCCCACTGTCGATTCTGTTTTTGTAGCTGTTTAGAAGAATACTATGGCCAGAACGGAGTTGGGCTAGGGTCCGTCTGATTGCCCTGGGAAGTGATTCTTCTGTTGGATCTATTTTTGGTGTAGGTGGAGGCCATCCGTCAAGCTACAGCAACGGCGACTGATGCGTCTCTCTGGCGGCTTTGATGGTGTTATTGTGAAGTGTTTTTAGAGCGGACTTCAGAGAATCGCTATTTATGGTTGTTGGTAGAACCGCATGGGTTGTTGAAGCCCATTTGGAGAGAAGGGTGGCATAGGAGTAGGAATTGTGATGCTATTAGCTCCGAATGCTGCCTTACCGCTAACATCTGACATTCTGAATGAAGGTGCCGTTCTGAAGCGATCACATGGCAACCTGTAATCAGACGCAGGGCGGCATTCTGGGAGCATTGAAGACGTGAGAAGCTTGAGTCTGATGTCAATGATGCCCAGGCAGGACAGGCATACTCGATTGTTGAACGACCGATGGTTTTTTAGGTCTGTAAAGAGTTTCCTTGTCCTGGCCATAGGTTGTACCACTTAGTGCCTTTAAAATATTATTCCTTATTGAGGCCTTGGATGCTGTTTCTTTATGGTGTTGTGAAAAGGACAGCATCGTGTCTAACGTGAGGCCTAATATTTTTGGATTATGTTCGAGTGGTAATAAACTGTTATTTATTTTTATTGCTGGATGATAGTGATACTGTGAAATGTGAGTGGTGAAGAGGGTGACTGTGGACTTGGAGGTGGAAATCTCCAAGTTCCTGCTATTGAACAAGTCGTAAAGCTTTGGAAGGTAGCAATTGAGCCGAAGTGTCAAATCATCTGCATTCGGACCTGTAGTGTAGATTGAAAAATCGTCTGCATAAGAGATAACTTTGACGTCTGGAGGTGGGCTTGGTATTTTTGAGACGTAGTAGTTAAACAGAGTTGGTGACAATACAACCTTGAGGCACTCCTGAGCGGATGGTGCGTTGTTTTGAAAATTGTCGACGGAACTCTGTTGATGCAGAGCGTCCATGCAGATAGTTTGACAACCAGCGGACAATTGACCATGGAAGCGATGATGACATAAAGTCGGAGATTAGGATGCGATGGTTAACGGTATCGAAGGCCTTTGTGAGGTCCAATGCTGTTAAGATTGTTCGGTGAGCTGGCCTCTTCTGATTTAGGCCGTTTGCGATGTCGGTGACCATCGTGGTGAGAGCTGTTGTTGTAGAATGAAGTGGGCGAAAACCATGCTGATGGCTCGCTAAGGTTAGGTGATTCGAGATGATCGGCAGAATGCATTTTTCAAATACTTTAGCTGCCGGACATAGAAGAGATATGGGACGGTATGATTTCGCGTCGTTTACTGGTTTGCCAGGTTTTAGTAGGAGAATGATTTTTGATTTCTTGTAAATTTCAGGAATCCTACAGGCTCGTAGTGATTCGTTAAAAATATTTGTTTTTCCTTCCTAACGAATATTTTAGAGGTGTTTTAGATGAAATATTGTCAGGTTGTCTGGTCCTGTTGCCTTGGACGGTTTAGAAGTTTTAATAGCTTCTGTAACCTGATTGGGGGTTAGTGTAGGATAGTCGTCAAGCGGAAATTTCTTAACGGCTTTGTTGGTGATTCTATTTAGTTTGTTTGATGAATGTTTCGTAGCTGATGTAAAAATTTTATTGAATGAGTTGGCTATTTGCAGATTGTTGGTTAGTGACCTGTTGTTGAAATTAATAGCGATGTTGGGGTATTGAGTTGGTTTGCCGCTAAGAGCTTTTATGGTGCTCCAGAGGCGCTTGGTGTTGGTTATCCTATTGAAAGTGCCCAGGAACTCCTTCTAACGCGATTGTTTTAATTTGTTGATTTTGTGTTGAATTATTGTTGATGTGGTTGCTATGTCCTTAGATGTTGGATCTGTAGCTCTGATGTCATCTCGTCTTTTCATTAGGTCGGTGATTTCTTTCGATAGGCCTGGAGTATATGAAATTCGTCTACCGGAAGGTATGTTGTGGTCACTTGCGTCCTGTAGAATACCACGAAACGATTTCTCGGCCGCTGATGGGTTGGGAGGGAAGACTTGATTGGAAAATCCGGCTTCGGATTTTTTGGTGAAACCATCCCAGTTAGCTTTCGCGAAATTTATTAATCTGATTTTTGGGGGGTTAATATGTTGAATTGTTGTTTGTGAGCTGATGTGAATGGGTAGATGATCTGATGATCCATGTTGATGATCAACGTATCAGAGGCGAAAGATATATCTGGAGATGAAGGCTGGCCGGATGCTGGGAGACGCGTTGGGGTATCCAAGTTGACTGTGCCGCAGCCAGAATTTTCGATTTCACTGGCTAGGGCTTCTCCTCGTGTGTCCTCTAGACTTGAATACCACAGTGGGTCGTGTGTATTGACATCTCCCAACAAGACGACATTTGGGATTAATAAAAATTGGGATATGGTTTCAATGCTGTGAAACCTGTTGGGCAGGTGGATTGTGGGGGGATGTAAATGTTGATAATGTTGATATCTGTGTCACTTGCGTTGAATGTGATGGCCTGACTCTCAATTGTTGGAACATCTGGTAACGACTCGATGCTGTAGGTAATGCTGTTGTGGATGAGTAGTATGAGACCACCTCCTCGACCTATTCTTCGGTTTTTGCGGTAGATAGCGTATTCTTTGAAGACCGGATTTTTGGAGCCTTTTGTTAGTTTGGACTCCTGAAAGGCTGCGATGTGGATGTTGTGATTTATGAGGTGTTGCTGAATTTCCTCTTGTTTGTTTTTACAAACAAGAGGAAATTCGTTACAGTTTAGTTGAAGGAAATTTAACTGTCCGGCACTTACTGCATGTGATGTTGATGGTTTGTTGCGGGCTGAGCTGTTGAATGATGATGTTGAAGTTGGCCGCCGTGAGGCGCCAGCAGACGCCGACGTGCCGCTTGAGTTTGAGGACGGGTGAGGACAGAGGACAGTTATTACAATAGTAATGACCGTTGATGTTTGTTAAGCAATTGTTGAGGTGATGCCAGTTGTAGCAGGTTCTGCAACGGGCTGAATATTGGGTTTTGTTTATCCTTTGATGGCATCCAGGGCAGATCCAAATCTTTGGGGGACCTGGATTTGCTTCAATTCCGGCTCTCAGGAGAAGGCAACGGAGCAGGACGGCCGGAATGGCCCGCTCCGTCGATGAAAACCCCGGGGAAACATCCAGGTGGGGAGGGTTTGTTTCAACTGTTTGTTGGATCGACTGATTTGACGGTCCAATCGGCTCCACCGCGTGTTATAGGATAGTCTCCAAAGTTGTATTGTTTGTTTTTAATTTCTGTATTATTTTTTTATTTTTTTTTTCACCGACTATTAAACTGAACTAAATAATTAACCATTGAAAATATTGTTTAAAACATCCTAATTTTGATACGTATCATCATGGCATCAACTAAACATCAAACATCAATCCCCATCGAGTCATTTGAAAGTATTGTGGCCAAAATACTAGATAAGTCAAACGATCACACCATGGAGTGTTTCGACATTCTGCTTAAGAAATCTAACGAAAACCTTGAAAAAGTCATAACTCTGTCCAACAACAGTCTTGAAAAGATATTTGAAAAGTTTGACTCCAACCTGACATTGGTTATTGAAAAGTCAAACGAAAATTTGCGCAAATCACTGGCTAACTCGGAGGGTTTAATGAGCAAACTTTTTGAATCAACATTGCTGCAAATGGAGGCCCTCAATAATAGCGAGCGGTCATTGATTTTCCCGCTAGGAAACCAAATTGATAATTTCCGATTGTGATGCACGAGGTCAATTTTTTCTCAATGAATTTCTCGACAATTTTCAGGGAGTGTTCTAACAGACGTATACCCCGATATGATGAACAGTTCAATAGTTTGATAATGTCATTTGTGAGTCCAGATGGCCTGTCGAATGGTGTCTGTCATACCAACTCAGACAGGCGAATCAGAAAAGATGAAAAATATTTTCTGGGCTGCATTCTCTGACACCATCTCAACAATACCAAAATCTGAAACAATCCTGATTGGAGGCGATCTCAATGGCCACGTTGGAGAGAAAACAGATGGTTTTGATAACGTCAATGGCGGTTTTGGCTATGGAAAACGGAATGAAGATGGTAACCGCATCCTTGAGTTTGCTGAATGTCACGGGTTTTGTTTACTGAATACATATTTTAGAAAGAGGTTGAAACATCTCATAGCATACAAAAGTGGACCATCAGCCACGCAAATTGATTTTTTCGCTGTCAAGCAACAACACCGACGACTATTCAAAAATGTCAAAGTTATACCTGGCGAATCATGTGTCGCCCAACATAGACTCCTTGTGGCAGACCTGGTTGTCGAACTGTCAAAACACATGTCTAAACAATTGCCTCGGAGAATCAAAACATGGAAGCTGAAAAGCAATATTCATCGAGAAAAATTTCAACAGATTGTCACCACACAGTTAGACCACCAATCGCAATCTAGTACAGATTGGAGTACATACAAAACAGTTTTGATAGACGCTGCAACTACAGTTTGAGGAAAAACTGGTGCAAAACTCCAGCATGAACGGGACAGGTGGTGGTGGAATGACTGTAAAAAATGCAATAACTGAAAAGAAAGTTGCATACAAGCAATGGAAAAATCAAAGTCTGTTGATGACCATACAATTTTCCGTGAGAAGAACAACTATGCAAGACGTCAAGTTGCGCTGGCTCGGACAGATCAGTGCAGAGAGTGGCTCACTAAAAGCAAAGGTGAACAAATGAAATCTCTGTATCGTATAGCAAAACAAGCAAAGCGTACGAAAAAAGACATAGTTGGTGCCTCATGTATCAAAAACGACAAAAGTGAGATGGTTCTTGAACAAGATGAGATCAAGCTACAGTGGAGAGAATACTTCAACCGTCTGTTAAACGAAACAAATCCCATCAATGTTTACCTTGACGCTCCACTCATCGAAGGTCCGATTTCACACATCACTATAGAGTAGCTTACAGAAGCTCTGAAAGCTGTGAAGGATGGAAAAGCAGCAGGGCCCTCTGGACTCACAAACGACATTATTAAAGCATCTGGTACTGCCGGTATCCAAACGTTACTACAACTTTGCCGTGAAATCTGGAGAAATTGCTCAATTCGGACTGAATGGAACTATAGCATGACAGTTCCGCTATACAAAGGCAAAGGTGATCCATTGAACTGTTCATCATATCGGGGTATACGTCTGCTAGAACACTCCCTGAAAATTGTCAAGAAAATCATTGAGAGAAGATTAACGTCGTGCATCACAATCGAAAGTTTATCAATTTGGTTTCCTAGCGGAGAAATCAACAATTGATTCAATTCACATCCTTCGGCAACTGCAAGAGAAGTACCTTGCAAAGCATCAACAACTATCACACATTTTGTAGACCTTGAAAAAGCATTTGATCGAGTTCCCCGTGAAGCAATCAGGTGGAGTCTACGTCGACAACTCATTCCAGAATATCTCGTTCGACTTGTGATGGAAATGTATACGAATACTAAGACTCACGTCAGCACAAAGGTTGGAAACACAGATGCATTTGACATTGGCATTAGAGTTCACCAAGGCTCAATTCTCAGTCCACTGTTATTTATAACTGTGCAGGAAGAAATCACAAAACCGATACGGATTGGTGACATTTGGAATCTAATATATGCTGATGATATTATTTTGACAGCCAAGTCTGAGCAGAATGCAGCACAGATGTTTGAAGATTGGAGCACCAGACTCGCCGATCATTGATTCAAAGTCAACATCAACAAAACCAAAGAAATGAACACTGGTGAACCCATCCAATTCACAGCTACTGGACGATGGCCCTGTTCAGTTTGTAAAGCTGGTGTAGGTAACAATTCAAACGTTGTTCAAAAATAATTGGTACTTTATCTAAAGTGTCCAATTTTGTTTGTCCTACTTGCATCAATCCACAACAACATATTCAAAATAGCACTGTTTTTGAAGCCATTAAAGTAGAGAAAGTCACTTTGTTTCAATATCTAGGGGATGTTCTAGATTGTACTGGAACAGCTGAAGCAGCCGTTCGAGCACGCATACGTGCCTCCTGGAATAAATGGAATCTCCTTGCCTCTATTTTGATACGGCGTGACATCCCACTACCACTACGATCAAAACTTTATAAATCTGTGATACGTCCGGTGTTGTTATATGGTTCAGAAACATGGCCAATGACACCTAACTGGAACAACAACTTCAACGAATCGACATGAAAATGCTCCGATGGATGCAACGAATTAGTCTGAAGGACCACATCAAATGTACCGAAATCCTGCGTCGTGCTGGTTTAGATGATATAAAAAACGAATGCCGGCAACACCGTCTGCGGTGGTTTGGTCATGTCAAACGAAGTGGAAACAGTGCCATAACTTCTCTTGCAAATGTTGAAGTAACTGGCACGTCCCAAAGGCCGTCCAAAGAAGTCCTGGTCGCAAACAATCGAGCAAGACATGAAAGCTCTAAAATTAAATGAAATGGATACAACTGATCGTCTACTTTGGCGCAAAAATTTTATGGCAAAGAAAACAACGTCCTACCTCGGGAAACCGGGTCTCTGGACGCAAAACGAAAAGTTTTGAGAGTAGAAGCATTGATGACAAAGGTAGATGGTCCAAGGACGGAACCTTGAACTACGCTAGAGTTAATAGGTAGAGTAGATGATAGATGAATGAGTAGAGCTAAAAAGAGTAGAATGACTGCTATTAGATAGAAAATTTATTATGATATTGTAAATGTTGTCAGGTAGTGGAAGAGAGGCTAACTTATTTGAAAGTGAGAAATGATTGAGTCAAAAGCTTTAGAGAAATCGAGGGCAATAAGATGAACATAATTATTATTTTTAAGGAAAGATGTTATTGTGGAAGTAAGAGAGATGATGGCGGATGTAGATGAACTTGTAGGGCGAAATGCAGACTGGTCTTGTAATAGTGGTTTGATGGATAGTTGAAAGATGGATAGATGAATGACCTAACAGGGATTTTTTCTAGAATACGTGAGAGTATGGGGGTGTTAGATATTGGGCGATAATCTATTGGTGATGATGGGTGTTTTGTTTTAGGAATTGGATGGATTGTGCTGGATTTCCATTGTGATGGGATGAATGAGTGAATTAAGCAGTGATTGTAGAGTGAACATAAGGTGCTGGAGATGAATGGAGCGATGATTTGTATAAACCATGCTTGTAGACCGTCTGGACCTTTACCGGATGGGCATGCCTTCGTTAGAATGTGCAGGACGGAGTATGGTGTAAATTGTTGATGTTGATGACTATTGATTGTAGTAGCTTTTGTTGGTGAGATTTTGTAGGAGTGGTCGGTTGACATGGAAGCAAAGTGGGTGTTGAGTGTGTTGGCGTCAATATGCTGCACGGTTGATGTGTTGAGTGATTTCTCAGAGCCTACAATCTTTTTGACTTGTTCCCACATGGCTTTGCTTCCACGCTTACTATTAGTGAAGGTTTTCGAGTTGAAGTTGATAATAAGTTTACTGATGTATTTGGTAATCGCTGCGGCTTTGAGGGTGGATCCTAATCTCATGAGGTTTTTTTTTTTGGCGAAGTAGAAATTTGATGAATGGGCTGATAAATGGAGGGTCTGATGATCTAAGCGTGATGTTTGATGCTGGGTAGTACCTATTGTAAGTTGAATTAATGATTTTATAGAATTTATCAAAATAATGTTGCAAAAAATTAGAGTTAGCTAAGATCATATTATTGTTAATATTGTTATTGTTATTATTATTATTATTATTATCATCATCATTGGCACCATTGTTAATATTATTTTTATTGTTACAATTATTATTACTATTACTATTATTAACATGGTTAATTTTATTATTATCAAGATTAATTATATTATTATTAGAAATTGCTAGCGATAAATGGTCGGTGGTGGTGATGTTGAAGTCGGATATATTATTGAAGTCGATGGTGTTGAGATGTTGAAAGCAGGCGATACTCTGTGAAGGATGACGTTGGCGAAATGAGATGACTTTTCTAGTGGTGTTGTTTCTAGATGTTGAGTTAGTTGGTGGAGGTGGAGGAGCAGCAACCACCCCAATATGATGTGTTGAGACATGCGACTTTTAAGTGTAAGTGATATCCAGGTTTACATTAATCCCATATATTCTGTCAAGGTTGTGACCTTGGTGGGTGGGACCCCAGAATATAGGGTGTAGACCTGTTTGAAGTATGGAATGATGGTCGAGTTGATTGAAGTCACCCCAATGATGAGTTTTGAGTCGCTCCCCAGCGCAGTGTTAGAGAGTTCTTCGATGTAACCCATCATGGTGGAGACTTTGTATGATGGATGATTTGGTAGATGATAGAAGGCACAGATGATGTATGGTTCACTGTCAATAATGCACTTGAGACAAAGGGTTTCCAGTGTATCATTGATGGCATGAGGTGGAACGATGTTAATTTAAGATGAGATGGATAATTTCAAATAGATGACAACGCCTCCTCCACGCCGACTGCCAGGGCGGTCTTTTCTGAAGGGTGTGTAGCCATCTATTGCGATCAAACCATCAGGGTGATCTGGCCTAAGCCATGACTCGGTGATGATGATGATGATGTCGGGGTGTAGATGATATACATCACATCTTAAATTCTCAATAGCATGTGGCTTGACAATGCTAGTGACATTCAAGATGTAGATGATGGGTGGAAGATGACATGGGGTGATTTTGGCGGGGTTATAAGTCGGGGTGAATTTGATGAGATTGGGATGATTTGGTGAGGAGCGTCGGCTGGGGTGGTTGCATCTTTTACGGGCTGATGAAACTACTACTGGTATTGCTGATGACGAATTTGTGCAAGGTAGATGGGCTGGGGGTGTTGATGTTGAGGTTGTTGTAGATTGCTGTAGATTGTTGTAAATTGCGGTAGCGATTGAGGTAGATGGTATTGATGTCGAAGTTGTTGCAGATATCTGTAGCGATTGAAGTAGATGGCCCGGGGGTGTTGATGTTGAAGTTGTTGTAGAGTGATGTTGCAATTGAAGAAAGGTGGAGAGGCGTTGGTGATGATCTGGGTTTCAAATTTTGTTGAGAAAAAGATTTTTTTCTTAGCTGTCTTTTGATGGCGAATTTGTCCGGTAGAAAATCAAGCAGTTGTTGGCGTGTGTATTGGATCATTCGATTGAGGATATGAGCGATAATTAGTAACCAAAATGTATTACAGCAACGAAAACTTTAGCAAAATTTTTTTTTAAAACATTGTCAAAAAAGAATATTAATTATTGATTTATTAAGTAAAAATAAGCAAAAACTTAGTTAATAACGGAGAATTTAGAGATTGAAAATCCAAAAACACGATGTCGGGTAAACCATAGACATCGCAAAAAAAACTGCGCTGTTGCAGTTTTGAAAATTTGTTAAATTTTTCTTTTATAATTCTTCTGATTATATGCTGTCTGATTATAATTATAATAATTATATTGTAAATAGATTGCCTTTTAATGTTGCTGTTTTCTAATTTTGAACATGAGATTAAGGCGATCAATTTACGAATGGAAACAACTGAGGATTTACTTTGGCGCAAAAAGTTGATTGCAAAGAAAACAACGTCCTACCTCGGAAAACCGGGTCTCTGGACGCAAAACGAAAATTGATTGTGTGTCTGTGTGCGTGCGTGTGTGTGTAACAACATGTTCATAAATATTAAATAAATAAATAGCTTGTTTTAGTTCTTCATCGTCGTTGATATTGTGCTCTTTGTTCTGGCCGATGTTATTTCAATTGTTAAATTAGAAATTTGTTGAGTTTTTCTTTTATAATTCTTCTGATTATATGCTGTCTGATTATAATTATAATAATTATATTGTAAATAGATTGCCTTTTAGTGATGTTGTTTTCTAATTTTAAACATGAGATTAAGGCGGTCGATTTACGTTGCCTTTACGCGGGTGCGGTGCAGATGCTGTTCATGAGCAGTGCGGATGCGGGCTGTTGAAGACGTGAAGTTTGCGACTGCGCGCTGTTGCAGTTTTGAAAAATCTTCTCTGCTTGGGGCTATACTCCTTACAACAAACTTCTGTGCAACAAAAATTTTCATTTCCATAGCAAATTTTCTTTTATGTCCCTTTAAATTTTACATACAACTTAGAACAAAAATAATTTCTTTGTCTATAATAAACAAAATTTCTAAAAGTTAAAAGAAATATCCGAAAATTTTTTTAAATAATTGTTGAACTTAATAATGCATTTTTTGGCATTACTGTTTTTCGAAGTCAATATCAGCAAAACCAAAGCAATGAACGCTAGTGAACCCATTCAATCCACAGCTACTGGACGATGGCCCTGTTCAGTTTGTAAAGCTGGTGTAGGTAACAATTCAATCAAGTGTCTGCAGTGTAACCAGTGGTGTCACAAACGTTGTTCAAAAATAATTGGTACTTTATCAAAAGTGTCCAATTTTGTTTGTCTTGCTTGCATCAATTCACAACAGCAAATTCGAAATAGCCATGTTTTTGAAGCCATTAAGGTAGAGAAAGTCACATCGTTCCAATATCTAGGGGATGTTCTAGATTGTACTGGAACAGCTGAAGCAGCCGTTTGAGCACTCATACGTACAGTCTGGAATAAATGGCATCCCCTTGCCTCTATATTGATGCGGCGTGACATCCCATTACCACTACGATCAAGACTTTATAAATCTGTGATATGTCCGGTGTTGTTATATGGTGCAGAAACATGGCGAATGACAACCTAACTGGAACAACAACTTCACCGAACCGATATGAAAATGCTCCGATGGATGCAACGAATTAGTCTGAAAGACTACATCAAATCTACCGAAATCCTGCGTCGTTCTGGTTTAGATGATATAAAGGACGAATGCCGGCAACACCGTCTGCGGTGGTTTGGTCATGTCAAACGAAGTGGAAACAGTGCCATAACTTCTTTTGCAGATGTTGAAGTACCTGGTACACGTCCCAAAGACCGTCCAAAGAAGTCCTTGTCGCAAGCAATCGAGCAAGACATGAAAGCTCTAAATTTAAATAAAATGCATACAACTGATCGCCTAATTTGGCGCAAAAAATTGATGGCAAAGAAAACAACGTCTTGCCTTGGGGTCTCTGGGTCTGGACGCTAATCAATCAATCAATCAATCTTCATTTTGCGTCCAGAGACCCGGTTTCCCGAGGTAGGACGCTAAACGAAGATTGATTGATTGATTTACTGTTTTTCGTATTATGCGTTTTAATATATACAATAACGTAAGTACATAATTAAAATATTTTATTTTTGTACTTTTTTAAATTATACTATGTACTATTTCTTTTTGTTATAAAGTTAAGTACATAATTAAAATATGTTAATTTATTGCTTTTTGAGATTATACTATGTACTATTTCTTTTTGTTATAAAATTGAATGATTAAAGGTTATTTTTCATAAATATATAGCATATAAACACCTTTCAGGCAATATAGAGTTTTTTCCCAAACAAATTCTATATAACAAATTATCTATCTAGAGTATTTATTTTCTTGAACCATCAAATTTATTGTATGGAGGTCAGACTGTATTTAAAGATTTTTCTTTCTAGAAAAGTCATTCGGTAAAGACGGTAAAAGTTTAACTCTGTAGTAGAATAAAATAAGAGCATTATAATTTTGTCTCTTTTACACTGGGGCTGTATATTATAAACACCGTCATTTTTTCACAGAAGTTTTCTACAATTTTTCCTCAGGCACAAGTAGGGATCTCCTAGGAAGTGAAAATATGTTAGATAAAATGATCTCATTTGATTCTTATGATGCTGTTGGGTTTGATTGTGACCACACGCTTGCTCAATATAATCTATATAATCTGTTCAAGGTTGACTATCAATTTTTACTACTAAAATGTTTAAAAAAACATTTAATTTTAAAATTTTTCTCAATGATGCAGGATTCATATGATGACATGGCGAAATACCTAGTCAAAAAAAAGAAATATAAAAAAGAAATATTCCAATTTGATCCGAGATTTTGGTTTGTTTCCTAAACTTTTATAATGATTCCAAATATACTAATAACACCAATGATACCGATGAAGACACTGAAAAAAGTAACATCGATCAAAGTGTTATCAAAGAGCAAGTAAATGATGCCAATAAAATTAGCATAGTAAAACATAACACCGAAGAATAACATATATAAATTCTATATTTAAAATCATTCTCTATGCTGAAGAAACTAGTTTCTTTTATGCATCTAAGTCCCTAATCGAATCTTAAACACTAATTTAAAAACTTTTTCTGATTGGTTTGCTCAAAGTGGATTCAAGGTGAATTATCAAAAAATTTTTGTATGTGTTTTGGACCTAAAATCCTTACTAATGTATTTGCGCCTCTGAATCTGTATATTAATGATCATCTGATAGAAAGAAAATTAAATGCTAAAATTTTAGGTCTCATTGTTGCTGATTTGTTGTGGGCTGAACATATTGATTCACTCACGTCAAAGTTAGCAAGACATTAGGATTGATTTTTTAAATTAGATATAAACTAAATGTTTCTACTCTTTTACAATTGTACTACGCATTTATTTTTCTTCATCTTACTTATTTTAACATCATTTAGGGCCATTCTCCTAATACACATATATTAAAATTATATAAGCTACAAAAGAAATACATCAAACTTTTATTTTATTTGAAGCAAACTGATTACGTTGACGACTTTTTTTTCTTCTCTAAATATATTAATATTATATAAGTTATTTATTTTGAGCGCATCATTTTTTGTGTTTAAATTTATTAATAACCATCTACCCTAACTTTTCTAATTTTTTATTGTGTAAACCTCCAAATAGTTTCAGTTCTACTAGATTATTTATTCCTTTTATTACTCCATTCAGTCGATTGAAAATTTTAAATGATAGTATTTTTGTTCTAGCTCCTAAAATTTTGTTTAAAATACTGCCTCCATCTATCACCACGATTTCTAAACCAAGTCGATTTAAATATTCTTTGCAAATTCTTTCTTTTGTCTGTTAAACATGAGATTATTATTTAGAATAATGAACATTATCGTTTATTTTATAAATTTGCCATTATTTAATTTAATTTGGATATAAATTTGAGTCAATTTTCCAGTAGCTTTAATATTTTTTAATTTGTCTATTTACATTTAAACGTATTATTTTCTGTTTAACGGTTGTCTATCATAAGATTTTTTTATCTTTTTTGATCTCCGTATCATTTCTATTTCTTACTTTTGTTTGATTTCAATCAATCAATCAATCTTCGTTTAGCGTTCATAGACCCAGTTTTCCGAGGGTAGGACGTTGTTATCTTTGCCATCTACTTTTTGCGCCAAATTAGACGATCAGTTGTATCCATTT